AGGTCTTTTCCAGCCTCAACAATTCTGTGTTGGGGAACGCTCTTGAGTAGAAGCGGCTTTTCGCCTGCACTGCTTGTTTCCAGGGTGTGCAGTGCCCCTCGGGGGAGGGCGCCCCACCACAGCAGCAGAGCAAGGTGCTTTTCATGCCTTCTCTACAGACAGCAAAAATAAAAGGGAATTCAAAGAGCCTGGGGCATTTAGCTGGTAAATCACTATTTGGTAAACTGATGCCCATCAGAGAGATGGCGCAGCCTGCCTTTTATTTCCTCCCGCTTTAGAGTTTCGAGTCCTAAGCTTTATTATGTATGAATGGAAAACAAAAGCGTGTCCAAATCGCCATTCCTGAGAGTGCTCTAACAATCTTACCGTGGAGAACTGCAGACGGCCTGATTCCTCTTGGCAAAGATATTGGGCCATGGGGAGAAGTACGCGAAAAAGTAAAAAAAAAAAAAACCAACAACACAAAAAACCCCCAGAAAAGTTCAAGATTCTCACACAGGGATTCCTTGTCCTTTGCAGACCAAGGCGAAAGGCTGCCAGTTCAGCCTACTGCAGGCGCTGTGGCAGCGTGCTTTCTCAGCAGTGGCATTTTTTTTTAAAGGTGATGTACAAACCTCTGGAGTTGGTTACCCAAGTGACTCAAGGCTCGTTTTTAGCACAGAGACAGTTTGGCTGGTCTTGCCTTTTGTCATTCTGGTGTCAATCTGTTAAGTTTTCCTTCTACTGAAATGCTTTTTCTTCTCTGGAAGGAAGTCTCAGCAAGAATTCAAGTGATGTCTGCTACTGCTGTTTGTATTGTAAATGGCTGAAAATATTCTTTTTCTCCCTAAGGACTTGTCTATAGTGGAAACTGACATCACTTACCAAACTAACTGTTCTGCTCCAGTTAACCCATACTCTCTGCTATGAAATTATTTTTCATTTATTCTTAAATAAAATCAATTTCATTTCAAACTCGATGTGGGGAGTTATTCTCATGTTGCTGTCATGATTGATTTATGCTTGGTGTTGCTTAATTCACGTTAAAATAGGTCAGCTAAACCACTGGATGGAAATACAGCTCAGATCAGGACACAGCTCAACAATTTGCATGTGTTGGGCTTGTGTTTTATAATGGGAAATTTCCTCATGCGAAGTTACAGCACCAGATACTTGTTTGCACTAAGGCTTACATTATCACTGGAGGGGGAGAGAGTAAATCACTGAGAAGTCTAAAAATAACCTCCTGCAGACAGGAAACTTGTTATCTGCAGAAAGGGAGGCGTCTGGTGATGCTGTCTCAAAGCAGGCATAAGGGAGCCGTAACAAGTAGCGCCTCGTCTTGTCTTTGGGGTAGCTCTCAGCACTGCGTGTCCTGAAACTCGTCACAGGATTCACAGTTTAGCATCCCATGTGGCTCCTCCTGGGATGGTGCCCCTGCTAAATGTCCCTATTGCGAGCAGATAACAAAAGAGCTGTCCCCAGCACGGAGTGCCAGGATTTAAGTAAAGCTTGCTGTGCCAACTTGGCACAAAGAGGCTTAATTTCAACCCTGGTCCACCCTGATAGTGCAGATGGGATCAGCAATGTGTGAGAACTGCATCAGCTTGACCTGTGCAGCAAGTGCTCACTCCTCAGCTGGGCGGGATGCAGCAGCTCCCGCTGCGTGGGAGTTCAGTGGACTCGTGGACAGGATGAACTTGGAAGGAGCAGGCTCAGCCCGACTGTCTGAGACCCTGCAGGTGCCCGTGAGGATGTTACAGGTCACCCCTGCATATCCCGTTCAAGGTGCCAATGGGTGGCTACATCCTGCTGGTCTGCAACCACAGAGACCCACTTGCTTTTATTTGGTCTGGAGGTGAACTTCTCCCGCAGGATCACTAACAGCTCTGAAGCAGCCACTTGTTGTGTTTCTGGGCCGTTTTGTGACAAATCACACATCTGGAGGCAGCATAGTGCCTGATTGCAACCTTTTCTTTTAGGATCTCCTGAAAGCTCTCCCAATGAAGCAAAAAGCTGCCACAGTGAGGCTGCACACAGCATTGTGGCTCCTCTCACCTGGGAACACGGGAGAAACTGAGGCTTAGTTGGCTTTACCTGAAATGGTGGGGTTTTTTTCTAAATAAGCCTTTTCTTGGGGATAAAATGGAGGGTTGGCAGCAGAGCGGCAAAGCCAGATAGTATGGGAGAAAGATCAAAGAGATATGGGTGGCATAGGAGGTGTGGCAGGGGTGAGATGTTTCCAGAAGCGTCACACGCCCACAGGAGAAGCAGCAGGGAGCCATGGGCTCTGGCTGCAGCACTCAGAACTTTCGCTCGCAAGGTTTTTACAGCAGCCTTGAAACCCCCGAGCAGCCTGAACACAGAAGGAGCCTAGCAAAGATGCAGCAAAGCTTGCAGGCTTGCATGAGGCTGGTACCCAAAGCTGCTGAAATGTTATCCACACACCTACAAGGTGATGCCTCCTCCAAAAAAAAACCAAACAAACAAGAGGAAAAAAGACACCTCAAGCCACAACCACATGCAGCCTCCCCTGCACACACCGTCTGGGATTAATCACGACACCTGGCTGTAACTGGAGTGGGGCAGGTGTGTTGTGATGGGACAATAGATCAGGAATGGGAAGTCCACAGGCAGCAATGTGGGGGGAAACTCCCTTTCCAGAAGGTTGGGACAGCAACTCTGGGGGAGAAACTGGAGCTGGAGGGTTGTGGTGCAACAGGGGGAGCGTCTTGGTGCCATTCTTCCCTGCCATCTCAACCCAGATGTCAACACCTGAGGTCTGGGGCACGTTTTGATTGTGGTCATCATTGCACTGCCATGTCCTGCCATTCCTCTGTCCACTGATGCAATGAATACAACAGTTCTCTACCTCTCTGTCAAAGCAGCCTCCACTTCATCTCCCCACCCCAGATTACTAGCCAGTCCCTTGGAGCCAGTCCAACACCCACTGGCTGCCCTCACAGCAGTGCCAAAAAGATTTCTCTGCTAAAAAGCCAAGCCATAAATGTTACTAGATCACCCTCACAGGAGTTGAACATCAGTGGAGCCACCAGAAGCGAGGGTAGTACCTGCAGGTCTGATCTCCCAAATGGTCCCAAGCCGGGAAGCTCCCCTGCCTGTGTCCCGGGGACAGGCGGACTGCCACCTCAACCTGTGTCTCTGCCAGAGACACCTGCATTGCTTCAGCCTTGAGACATTCAGGTGCTCATGGACCAGATGACCTGGAGTGGGTGCATGGAGTGCCTGGAGACTGAAGCAGTCTGGCTTGGGGGAAACAAAAATCCCGGCAGTGAATAAATCACCCAAATTACCAGCTCAGATCACTGCTCCAGTCTGCTGCTGGGTGCGGAGCCTGGCTGGCAGTAATGTGCTGAGTGGGTCTATCCTGACACCTGTAGTATCAGGGCTGAGCTGTGCCTGGCAGCCACACATGGCACTCGCGGGAAACTTCTAAGAAGCCCAAAGCGTTAATGCAGGGAGAGCATAGCACAGCCACCAGCTTTGGCAGTGCCACTGCCACCTGCGCTGCTGCAGCAAGCCACATCCTCGCGCTCACATTTGCTCCAAGTGACACAATGGGATTTGTGGTTACCTGGAAGTCCCAGATGAGCCTCCAAAAGGATTCCCCAAAGGGCGAGGCTGTGTAGGTCCATGGCAGCAATGTAGGTCCTGTGCCTGCCTCCATCACAAACACATTTCCACCCAGCACAGGGATGGTGTCCCTTGTGTCATGCAGCCAGTGGCTTCTGGAAAGGGCCTGGGTCTGCCGGACACACGTTCTCCAGCTTCCAGCTGAGAAGGCCAAGGACCTCAGATGTTTCTATGAGTCAGGAGCCCCCTGGACAACCTGCTGGCCAGTTTCTTCCCTTGCCAGCTCCAACCTGGGGCTGTTCTCTGCTCCCCTTACCCCACCTCCTTCTGCCTCTGCTTTCTGCTCATCGCACGTGGTGTGGCTCACAACCCACAAAGGAAAAACCCTGAGCGACAAACCCCAGCCCTCGGCAAGGGGTGGAGGCAAGGCCAGAGAGCGGAACCAAAAGCCTGTGCAGCCCAGCCTGCCAGCTCGCTGCCCTGCAGGCCCTGCCCTAGCCCCCTGGCCACCGGGACCCCATGCTGAGGCAAGATGGAGGATTTAGGTAAGCTGGGCTCCTCCAGAGCCAGTCCTGTGCTTGGGCTTCATGCTGGGTCGTGCCTTTGGCACCTTGAAGGAGCTTTGTTCTTCCTCTACCGCAGGGTCAGATGGGGGCAGCCCTGGAAATGCACTCCCTAATGAGTGTCCCCTCATCGCGGGGAGCAAACAGGGCTCAGGTGGCCAAGCAAGCACTCAGCAGAAAATGGAGAGCGCTTGCAGGCAGGAAATGGCCTGTGGCTGCGACGCGATCCCGGCTGCACGCAACAGGCCCCAGCA